CCACAATTGATGAATCAGATCTTATTGGATAAATCATATATTATTTATATATAGGAAGTAACAGAAAAGGTGAGAGATTAGGTAGATGGATTCTCAATTCGTTAGCTTGAAGCGCCTCCTAGTGGCCATGAGATGGATTGGCCTAGCTACGGCTCTTGCAAATGCAGTCAGTGCCTGACTTACATGATCAGAATTGAGCTGGAAGGGACCTTGGAGGTCTTCTAGTCCAGCCCCCGGCTCAAGCAGGAGATACCATTTCAGACAAGTGTCTGTCCAGTCTTTTCTTAAAATTTTCCAGTGATGGAGCACCCACAACTTCTGGAGGCGGGCAGTTCCACTGATTAATTGTCCTCACTGTTAGGAAATTTCTTCTTAATTCTAGGTTGCTTCTCTCCTTGGTTAGTTTCCATCCATCGTTCCTTGTCTGGCCTTCGGGTGCTTTGGAGAATAGGTGGATCCCCTCCTCTTTGGGGCAGCCCCTCAAATACTGGAAGACTCCTCTCATGTCCCCCCCCCGCAAGTCCTTCTTTTCTCTAGAGTGGCCAAAACAGTGGTAGGTTTCAAAAAATTTTTTGCAACCGGTTCTGTGGGTGTGGCTTGGTGGGCGTGGCAGGGGAAGGATGCTGTAAAATCTCCATTCCGTCCCCAATCCAGGGGAAAGTTACTGCAAAAATCCCCATTTCCTCCTGATCAGAGAAGATAAAGGTAGGAAAAGAGCATGGGGCGGGTGAGATTGAATTTGATTGTCGGGATGAACCGGTTCGCTCCCAGCTGATCGTTGGAGCTACTGGTTCGCCTGAACCTGTCCGAACTGGTAGAATTCCACCCCTGATCTGCAGGAAAGATTCCACTTATATTTTCTTAAATTTTATTTTATTATTTTATTTTAATACTGCCTTCCTCCTCTTGTTTTCCCCACAACAGCAATTCTATGAGGTGGGTTGGGTTGAGAGAGAGAGGGAATGGCCCAAAGTCACCCAGGAGATTTTCATGCCTAAGGCGGGACTAGAACTCACTGTCTCCTGGTGATTGGCCCAAACTCACCCAGCCATCTTTCATGACTAAAGGCAGGACTAGAACTCACCGTCTCCTGGTGATTGGCCCAAACTCACCCAGCCATCTTTCATGACTAAGGCAGGACTAGAACTCACCATCTCCTGATGATTGGCCCAAAGTCACCCAGCCATCTTTCATGCCAAAGGCGGGACTAGAACTCACTGTCTCCTGGTGATTGGCCCAAAGTCACCCAGCCATCTTTCATGACTAAGGCAGGACTAGAACTCACTGTCTCCTGATGATTGGCCCAAAGTCACCCAGCCATCTTTCATGCCAAAGGCGGGACTAGAACCACTGTCTCCTGGTGATTGGCCCAAAGTCACCCAGCCATCTTTCATGCCTAAGGCAGAGGCAGATGTTCTCATCCTCATGATTGGCTTTATAAAATTTGGTAACATCAATCAATCAGAATAGAGCTGAAAGGGATCTAAGGGGTCTTCTAGTCCAGCCCCCGGCTCAAGCACTAGACCCTAAACCATTTCAGACAAGTGGCTTGTCCAGTCTTAAAAACCTCCAGTGATGAAACACCCACGACTTCTGGAGGCTAGAAGTTGCACTGGTTAATTGTCCTCACTGTTAGGAAGTTTCTCTTTAATTCCAGGTTGCTTCTCTCTTTGATTAGTTTCTTGTCCTGCCCTCTGATGCTTTGGAGAATAAGTTGACCCCCTCTTCTCTGTGACAGCCCCTCAAATACTACTATTGTTGTGACCTAGGCTTCCTGAGTCATTAAAACACACGAGTAGCCCCAAAAACCTCTTTTATTGCAACAGCTGGGAATTACGTTCATTCACAGCTGAGTCCCAATTAATTGCAAAACGTCCTTCGGGATAATCACCCACCTTTATCTCCCTTGACACTCTGGCAAAGACCTACTTGGCAAAGCCACACGGATTCCAGAATCAAACAGGAATCAGAATTAACAACGTTGCTTTCCTGCAAAGAGCCCACGTGCCTTTGCTCCTCTTTTAAGCCTTATGGGAGGGACCAATCATCTCCAGGCCTTACTCCTGAGTCGTCCCTTTTGTTTTAACTATTTGTGCCTTCTGGCAGCTCTGTGCAAGCACGCACTAGGAACAGGCTCCTCCTGTTCCTCTGCCTCTCTGATATCCGATTCTGGATGCTCCGGAGTCTGCGCATTGCTCCCAGATGGCCCTGGCCCCATCTCTGCCTCCGACGCAGAACCCTCGTCCAGGCCTTCCCCAGACTCCAGGACTGGCCCAAGGTCCTCCCCAGCCTCCTCACTGTCCGACTCCGCTGCCAGCTCCGCCAGGCTACTGGCAGACCACAACAATTACCACCATCATGATTTATATAAAAGCACAGGAAGCTTTTCATTCCAGAGGCAAAGAGGCGCTTTAATTTTAATTTTTGTTATCTCCAGGCTGCCATGATGCAAGGCGTTTAATCTAGCAGCTCCTTAGACCATCAACCTTCTCTTGCGTCATTCGAGACGTCACAAACTAACCTGAGTTCACACAACGGGGAACCCCGTCCCTGTTTAAAAAAATGGAGCCAAACCGTTCACACTACCAGCCAAACCAAGTTAAGAAATCAATTCATGATTTATGAGGGTTATGAGCGCAGGGGTTTTTCCAAGTAAAAATTGGACAACCCTTTGCCTAGGATGGTATATAAGGACTCCTGCTTTGAATAGGGGTTGGACAAGGGGTGAAATGTTCCTGGTTCGGACCGGATCGACCGATCCGGTAGCGATGTAGGGGGAATGGTTCGGAGAACCGGTAGCAAAAATCCCTGCCCCCCCCTTCATGCCCAGCTGAGCCGCGCGATCATCAGAGGCTTTTTTTTTTTACTTTTAAAAGCATTTTTTCTACAACCTCTTCGGCCGAAAAAATGCTTTTAAAAGTAAAAAAAACAGCCTCTGATGATCGCGCGGCTCAGCTGGGATCGTCAGAGGCTTTTAAAAGCATTTTTTCTGCCACCTCTTCGGCCGAAGAGATTTTAGAAAAAAAAAATGCCTTTAAAAGCCTCTGGCGATCCCAGCTGACTTGCCCGATCGTCAGAGGCTTCTAAAAGCATTTTTTTTCTGCAACCTCTTAAGGTTGTAGAAAAAATGATTTTAAAAGTTTAAAAGAGCCTTGATAGTACAGTGGTTTAGTGCACCCTGTTATTAACACAGCTGCCTGCAATTTCTGCTGGTTCGAATCTCTCCAAGGCTCAAGGTTGACTCAGCCTTCCATCCTTTCTAAGGTAGGTGAAATGAGGACCCAGTTTGTGGGGGCAATAAGCTGACTTTGTATAAAATATACAAAAGAATGAAGGCTATTGCTTAACGCATTGTAAGCCGCCCTGAGTCTCCGGAGAAGGGCGGCATATAAATCAAATTAAAAAAAAAAGAAAGAAAGAAAAGTTGGCCACGCCCACCCAGTCACATTACCCCCTCCCCACCAAGCCACGCCCACAGAACCGGTAGTAACAAATTTTAGATTTCACCCCTGGATTGGACTAGATGATAATAGCCTGACTAGGTGGCTCAGTGGCTAAGACACTGAGCTTGTCGATCAGAAAGGTCGGCAGTTCGGCGGTTCAAATCCCTAGTACAGGTCTCCTGCGTGAGCAGGGGGTTGGACTAGATCACCTCCAAGGTCCCTTCCAATTCTGTTACCGTTAGAAGACCTCCAAAGCAGGGATGAAATCCAGCAGGTTCTAACAGGTTCTGGAGAACCAGTAGCGGATATTTTGAGTAGTTCGGAGAACTGGCAAATAGCACCTCCGGCTGGCCCCAGAGTGGGGTGGGAATGGGGATTTTGCAATATCCTTCCCCCAGGAGGGGAGGGAATGGCGATTTTGCAGTATCCTTTCACTCAGGAGGGGAGGGAATGGAGATTTTGCAGTATCCTTCCCCCAGGAGGGGAGGGAATGGCGATTTTGCAGTATCCTTCACTCAGGAGGGGAGGGAATGGAGATTTTGCATATCCTTCCCCCAGGAGGGGAGGGAATGGCGATTTTGCAGTATCCTTCACTCAGGAGGGGAGGGAATGGCGATTTTGCAGTATCCTTCCCCTGCCATGCCAACAAGCCACGTCCACAGAACCGGTAGGGAAAAATTTTGGATTTCAGCCCTGCTCCAAAGTCCCTTCCCATCCTATGGTCCTATGATTCTATAAACCCTCCATTAAATAAAAGACCTGTGTTTTGCCAGACCAAAAGTCATAATAGAAAAAAATAATAATAACATAGATTAAACAAACGGAAAGTGCAGAGAAAGAGCAACTAAGACGATTAAAGGCTTGGAGACTAAAACATATGAAGAACGAATTGGGTTTGGCTAGTCTAGAGAAAGGAAGGATTAGGGGGGACATGATATCAGTGTTCCAGTATTTGAGGGGCTGCCCCAAAGAAGAGGGAGCCAAGCTATTCTCCAAAGCACCTGAAGGCAGGACAAGAAGCAAAGGGTGGAAACTAACCAAGGAGAGAAGCAACCTGGAATTAAGGAGAAATTTCCTAACAGCGAAGACAATTGGGATGACTTGCTTCCAAGAGGTTGTGTGAGTGCTTCATCCCTGGAGGTTTTTAAGAAGAGGCTGGACAGTTCCTTGTCTGTATAGGATCTCCTGTTTGAGCAGGGGGCTGGACTAGATGACCTCTAAGGTCCCTTCCAGCAGCTCTATCCTAATTCTGATTCAAACCAAGTTTGGGATCCTGACATTGGGTATGTGTTAGCCAGAAAGGAGACAAACCCAGATATGCTGTTAAAGCTTTGATTTAAAAAAAAAATGGTTTGGGCTCAACATGCCAAATCCTTTGTTCACTCTTGCGGGGGGGGGTTCCCCCTTACTCTTTCTCTCTCTTCCCCCCTCCCCTTCTTCCCCCTTTCTCTCTCTCTCTCTCTCTGCTGGACTACATTTCCCAACATCCCTCTGCAGCTGCGCAGACAGGAAAGCTTGTGAGTTCAACAGCTCCCAACAGCTTTGTTAATTCCAGAGAAGGGAGGGGAGAGGAGGGGGGGGGTGAGGAATTAGTAGGCAGGCCCTTTCTTCCTTCCCAAACGCCCGCCCAGGAGCTCCTGGAGGGGGTCAGAAGCTTTGGGAATCCTCCACCACCACCCCAACCCGGAAGCTCGCTCCCTTTCCAGGCCAGCTCTGGAAGATGGAAGACCAAAAGGTAAGGATGCTTTAAGGCAGGGATGCAGCAATTGCTGGACCAGGAGGGTATCGGATGGCAGGGCTAATGGATCCAAGCTGTCCCCATAGGGAGGAAGAGGGAGGTGTCTGTCTGGGCTTGTCTGTCTGTCTGTCTGGGTCGGTCCCTGAGCGTCCTGCAGCCAGGACTGCTCTGCAGCTGGTTCTCCACCCATCTCCAGCCTGGACTCTCCATCTCTGCTTTGTCATTGCTGGACTTGTCTTTTTAGAACCCTCGTCCATCCGGCAAGGGAGGGGGAGGGTTGGGGGAGGAGAAAGGCCGAGGAGCATGGGTTTCCCTGCTCTCTTTGCAAAGGGTCATTCGAGAGGATGCCTATTTTGGGAGGGAAGGGTGCATTTGGAAGGTTAGGGTTAGACTGGGAGACCTTCCTGCACCCTCCGGAAAATTAAATTAAGATCCTAGTCCTCGTGGTTTTTGAAGAACGTTTTGGTTGAAAGCAGAATAAGCCAACCTGAGATGGGGTTGTGTTTTTCCCTGGGTGGATGGGATTGCTGAGGTTCTGGAAGGAAAGGTGGGGTCGGGATCTTAAATCCTCCACCCCACCCGCAGCCACACCTTGGAAAGTTAACCCTGCTCTTCGATTGGATTGCAGTGGCCGGTGATGACCTCTCCCCACAAATTTAAAAGGAAACTCCTTTCATGCAGAAATCCTGTTGAGCAGGGATACAGATGAACAGAGTTGGAAGGGACCTTGGAGGTCATCTAGTCCAACCCCCCAGCCCCCACCCAAGCAGGAAGACCCTACACCATTTATGACAGCTGGTAGCCCAATCTCTTCTTGAAAGCTTTCAATGATGAAGCTCCACAACTTCCAAAGGCAACTTCTGTTCCATGGATTGATTGTTCTCACTGTCGGAAAATTCCTCTTTATTTCTAGGTTGAATCTCTCCTTGGTCAGTTTCCATCCGTTATTCCTTGTCTGGCCTTCAGGTGCTTTGGAAAATAGCTTGCCCCCCCTCCTCTCTGTGGCAGCCCCTCAAATATTGGAAGATGCTCTCCTGTCTCCCCTGGTCCTTCTCTTCACTAGACTACCCATGCCCAGTTCCTGCAACCGTTCATCGTATGTTTTAACCTCCTGTCCCATCATTATCCTGGTTGCTCTTCTCTGCACTCTTTCCAGAGTCTCCACATCTTTTTTATAGTGTGGTGTCCAAAATTGGATGCAGTACTCTAGGTGTGGTCTTACTAAGGCTTTTTAGAGGGGTATTAGTACCTCCCTTGATCTTGATTGTATTCCTCTCTTAATGCAATTTAGGATTGCATTGGCTTTTTTGGCTGCCGCTGCACACGGCTGTCTCATATTTAACTGGTTGTCCACTAAGACTCCAAGATCCCTCTCTTGCAGCCTTGAGCTCCAAGGGAGTGGCTTGAGCCGCTACATTTCTAAATGCAAGCATGGGATTTTAAAAGTCTTGCAGGTTTCTGCTCTTAAACTTCATCCAGTAGTCCGACATAGTCCAGGTAAGAACCGAGCTGGTCTGGAAAGACTCAGAAAGAGAAACCCTTTAGTGAAATAACTGGTTTGTAGTCCCTATTTTTTCAGCCTTGCTTGAAACACTGGAAAAAAGCTTCAGCTAGCCCTGCCTCAGCACGGACTATTCTTCTTTCCATCCGTGCTATGATTAAAGCCATGAGGACTAGAATCTTAATGTTGTTTTTTGAGGGGGGGCAGGATGCAGAAGGTTCTGACGCGGTATATAGGAAGATGTCTTTCTCAAATTCTGCACAATTGGTTGGTATGGATAGTCTTCTGTCAAGTCAGCCCACAATGCCCATCATTGCCACGGTCTGGGAGTGATTGGAACTGTAGTCCTTTGGAGCTGGGAGGGACCAATTCTTTTCTTTCGAAGGTGTTTTCATGAGGGAAAACACTACAGGAGCATAAGAAAAAAATTCCTTCCCTTCCCCTCCCCCTTTCTCTTTCCTTTCCTTTCTCTTCCTTCCCTCCCCCTTTCCTTTCCTTTCCTTTCCCTTCCCTCCCCTCCCCCTTTTCCCATCCTTTCCCTTCCCTTCCCTTTTCTTTCTTTTCTTTTCCTTTCCTTCCCTTCCCCTCCCCTCCCCCCCTTTCCTTTCCTTTCCTTTCCCCTTCCCTCCCCTCCCCCTTTCCCATCCTTTCCCTTCCCTTCCCTTTTCTTTCTTTTCTTTTCCTTCCCTTCCCTTCCCCTCCCCTCCCCCTTTCCTTTCCTTTCCTTTCCCTTCCTTTCCTTCACTCTTTCCTTTCCTTACCTTCACTTTCCTTCACTTCCCCTTCCCCTTTCTCTTTCCTTTCCCTTCCCTCTCCTCCCTTTCCTTTTCTTTTTTTTCCTTCCCCTCCCCTCCCTCTTTCCCTTCCCTTCCCTTCCCTTCCCCTCCCATCCCCCTCTCCCTTTCCTTTCCTTTCCTTCACTCTTTCCTTTCCTTACCTTCACTTCCCTCCCTTCCCCTCCCTTCCCTCTTTCCTTCCCTTCCCTTCCCCTCCCCCTTTCCCTTTCCTTTCCTTTCCTTCACTCTTCCCTTCCCTTCCATTTCTATTTTCACTTCTCTTCTGTCTACATCTACGTCTTTCCTTTCCTTACCTTACCTTAGCCAAAACTGATATGGACTCTGAATTTGGAAAAGAGCAAAGCAAGAAAGAGGAAATATCTTTCTCTTTCCTTTCTCTTTCCTTTCTCTTTCCTTTCTCTTTCCTTTCTCTTTCCTTTCCCTTCCCTCCCTCCCCTCCCCCTTCCCCTTCCCTTTCCTTCCTTCATTTCCTTCACTTCCCCTTCCCCTTTCTCTTTCCTTTCCCTCCCCTCCCCTTCCTTTTCTTTCCTTTCCTTCCCCTCCCTCTTTCCCTTTCCTTTCCTTTCCTTCCCTTCCCTTTCCTTCCCCTCCCCCCTTCCCCTTCCCTTCCCTTTTCTTCAGTTTCCTTCACTTCCCCTTTCTCTTTTCCTTTCCTTTCCCTCCCCTCCCTTCCTTTTCTTTCCTTTCCTTCCCCTCCCTCTTTCCCTTTCCTTTCCTTTCCTTCCCTTCCTTTCCTTCCCCTCCCCCCTTCCCCTTCCCTTTCCTTTTCTTCAGTTTCCTTCACTTCCCCTTTCTCTTTCCTTCCCTTTCCCTCCCCTCCCCTTCCTTTTCTTTCCTTTCCTTTCCTTCCCCTCCCTCTTTCCCTTTCTTTTCCTTTCCTTTCCTTTCCTTTCCTTCACTCTTTCCGTTCCTTAGCCAAAACTGATATGGACTCTGAATTTTGGAAAACCGTAGAGCAAGAAAGAGGATATCCAAACTGAGTGGACTAAGTGACCTGGGATAATCATTATCTTTCAGCCTGTCCTACCTCACAGGGATGTTGTGTTAAGGTTAAAACGCCAAAAAAACCCCTGTGAGGCTGCTAAGCTCTCAGAGGAAATATGGCATTTGATAGTCTTAAAAACTAGAGATAAATTCTTGAGATGAGAAAGATTGGCCGTTCTCAATTCCTGAAGTGCAAAGTGGCAGGAAATTTTTAAAAAAATATAAAATGAGACCCAGTGTTGCAGATGCAAATTATGCGCAGAGAGGAGAAGAAAAAGCACTCTGCACGCTGTCAGAGACATCCTTCCCCAGACTTAACAATTGTTGATAAGAATGACAAAAAAGTCTGGGTAGAGATAGCGAGTGTGGCAGTACCAGGAGACAGCAGAAGAGAAGGAAAATCACAAAATACAAGATCTGCAAATAGAAATAGAATGGCTCCCCACCGAAAAAGCCAATGCAGACCTCGGGTGCATTGTCAGAGGGATCGAATCAAGATCACATGAAGTGTTGGAACTGCTGGAGGGAAGCAACCTAGAACTAAGGAGAAAATTCCTGACAGTGAGAACAATTAACCAGTGGAACTGCTTGCCACCACAAGTTGTGAATGTTCCAACATTGGAAGTTTTAAAGAAGAGGTTGGATAACCATTTGTCTCAAGTGGTGTAGGGTTTCCTGCCTAAGCAGGGGTTTGGACTAGAAGACCTCCAAGGTCCCTTCCAACTCTGTTATTCTATTCCATTCCATTCCATTCTATTCTATTCTATTCTATTTTCTATTCTATTCTATTCTATTCTATTCTATTCTATTCTATTCTATTCTATTCTATTCTATTCTATTCCATTCCATTCCATTCCATTCCATTCCATTCCCATTCCCATTCCCATTCCATATTCCTATTCTATACTATTCCATTCCATTCCATTCCATATTCTATTCTATTCTATTCTATTCTATTCTATTCTATTCTATTCTATTCCATTCTATTCCATTCCATTCCATTCCATTCCATATTCCTATTCCGTTCCGTTCCGTTCCGTTCCGTTCCGTTCCGTTCCGTTCCGTTCCATTCCATTCTATTCTATTCTATTCTATTCCATTCTATTCCATTCCATTCCATTCCCATTCCCATTCCATATTCCTATTCTATACTATTCCATTCCATTCCATATTCTATTCTATTCTATTCTATTCTATTCTATTCTATTCTATTCTATTCTATTCTATTCTATTCCATTCCATTCCATTCCATTCCATATTCCTATTCCGTTCCGTTCCGTTCCGTTCCATTCCATTCCATTCCATTCTATTCTATTCTATTCTATTCCATTCCATTCCATTCCATTCCATTCCATATTCCTATTCCGTTCCGTTCCGTTCCATTCCATTCCATTCCATTCTATTCTATTCTATTCTATTCCATTCTATTCCATTCCATTCCATTCCCATTCCCATTCCATATTCCTATTCTATTCTATTCCATTCCATTCCATTCCGTTCCATTCCCATTCCATTCCATTCCATTCATTCTATTCTATTCTATTCTATTCTATTCTATTCTATTCCATTCTATTCCATTCCATTCCATTCCCATTCCCATTCCATATTCCTATTCTATACTATTCCATTCCATTCCATATTCTATTCCATTCCATTCCATTCCATTCTATTCTATTCTATTCTATTCTATTCTATTCTATTCTATTCTATTCTAT